AGTATATTGAGTTGGCTCATCATAGGGGTCTAAAGATGTTGTAAATGATTTGCCAGTAATGGAAGTGTCTTCTACAATGTTGTTCGCTGTTTCAAGCTCAGTTCTCACAGCTGAGCAGGATTCCATAGTCTGGCCTGTATATTGGGTCTGACCGTCATATAAATGGTCCTTCGCGTAAATTTAATATTTATTAATTTTTAATAATTATATTTCTTAAGAAAATTAACTAAAATTTGGTAACAATTAATAATAAAAGATTTTCTAACAAATTAGACTGTAAGATAGTAAAATAGCTATTATCTTTGTTAACTAGTTCAAAAAAAGATAATTTTATATTGTAGTTATTAACTATTTATACAAATTTTCTAATAGATTAATAACTCAATAAAATATAGATTTTAATCTGCACAGATATTATATATTTAAATAAAATATTTAAGCATTATTTTATCAAATTGTTCTTTCTTTTTTTAGAAAAAATTATATTAGTATTCAATAAACTATCTCATTTCAATAAAAATATCACAACCACAGTTTTTTAAATTTTTTGAATCACATATATCTACATACCATAATACAGCAATTAATTTTTCAACAAATTCTTTTTAGTTGTTATAGCAGTAATATTGCTTTATTCACTATATTTTTGTAAATCTATTCAACAATATCATATTATAATTTTTTTAGCATAGTTAAATGCTTAGATATAATAAAAGTTAGTTGTTAAATCAAGTTAGTAGTATTATTTATTATTTGTGCAAAAATATTAATTGGTATTTTAAAAGAAAATAATGTAAAACTATCTGTTTAATAATACTGCACTCTGTTTTTCCATGATTTAACTGCCTCAATCATATTATATTCAATACTAATAGCATTAAAAATTCCAGTTATATTAAATGAAAAATCTACTTTAACTGGTTGCAAATGGTCTTCATTATTCAATTGAACCTCAGAAACATTTTCTGCAACAAGGTTTTCATAAAATTATTTTACTGCAATATCTTAAGGCATAGGAATACCAATCCAATTTAATTTTACACCTTATATCTTAATGCATATAGATACAATAGGAATTAATTTCGTTAAACAATATTAGCAAAGTTCAAATATTTTTATATGAATAACAATAAGCATATACATAGAATTGGCATGTTATTTGGGAAATTACTTATCGTAAACAAGTTTCTAAATGAACAATAAAGCGATGATAATCAGGATCTCAAAATGATATTAATGCTAAGTCATTATGTATGGTTGCAAAACTTGCTTTATGCAGGGTAGAAATGATAAACTATTTAACATTGTTAATTCTCTATCGGTAGTAATACCTTGTGCAATTATAGTTGCTGATTTGGAGCATACTCTGCTCAGTTTCTAATATATTATTTGTACCAATAAAATGCATTTTGACAGCTTAATATTCAGCGTTATTAATCCAAAGATGTA